TTTAATATGTTGCTGTATTCAGTTCACTAGTATCTTATTTAGGATTTTTGCATCTGTGTTCATGAGAGATATTGATGTGTAGTTTTCTTTTTTTGTGTTATCTTTACCAGGTTTTGGTATCAGAGTAATATTGACCTCATAAAATGAGTTGGGAAGTTTTACCTCCTCTTCAGTTTTCACAAAATACATTTGATACCTTTTTTTCTTAATCGAGAATTATTTACTGCATTTGGTTCTCATGTTTTTGAAATCTCCTTTAATCTTGAACAATCACTTCATCTGGGTTTTGTTTTGTTTTTCTGTCTTTCATGACACGTTTGTGGAGCATCTAGTCAGAAGAATATCTTACAGTTTGGCTTTGTCTAATTGCTTCGTGATTTTATTTGGATTAAACATTTTTATTGATGTATTTTTTTTGATTATGTACATTTTTCTTATTGGCTAAGTGGATTGTAAATATCATTGTGCATGCTGTGAAAATTTATTACATAATCTGTATTAATAACTTGCTGAACGGACCATTTATGCATGTGCTATAAGTAGATTTTTTTTTTCTTTGAGATTATTGCTTGACTATAGCTTTGGGGCCTATAACAATGATTGGCACAGAGTAGGCACTCAGTATCTGTTAAGTATACCTATAATCTCAATAGCCAAGAAGCTTACTGGGCTTGGCTGGGGACACTAGGCTCTTTAGTTTATAATGGACAGCCCTGGCATCTTGTGTGGTGGTTGGCACCTGCTATAGTAGGTACTTAAGAATTTTTGCTCAGTATTTATTGAATTGAGGAAAACTACTGAAAACATTCCAGATTCAATAATTAAGAGTATTTTTAAATTTTTTATTTTGTTTTTCTTACTGTGGTAAAATATACATAACAAAACTTAATATTTTAACTATTTTTAAATGTACAATTCATTCGCAAATAGTATGTTCACACTTTCGTGCAACTGTCACCACCATCCTTTTTCAGAGCTTTTTCATCATCCCAAACAGAAACGCTAACCATTAAGTAGTAACTCCCACAGTTAACCCCCTCTCCCCAACCCTTGGTAACCTGTCTTCTATTTACTGTCTCAGTGGCTTTGACTGTTCATGTAAGTGGAATCACACAACATTTGTCCTTTTTTGTCTGTCTTATTTTACTTAGGATAATGTTTTTGAGGTTCTATCATTTTGTAGCATAATTAAGAGTATTTTTGTTTAAACTTAACTTTATGTTTCAGGCAACAGAATTTGTCAAACAGAACATTGTGATATCCAGTGGATTTGTGGGAGGCTTTTTGCTAGGCCTTGCATCTTAAGGATATGAATATTCTACCACAGTGGAGTCATCTGTGAAAAGAAAAGTGGTGGCGACAAGGTGGGCTCTCAACATTACACGCTGCCAGACTCCAGGGCGATGAGAAACAACTAGCTGAACAATATCAAACTCACAATTTAGTTTCTTGGCATCTGAAGTTTGGCAAACTATTATCTGCTGTAAAACAACCTATATGGTATGTGTACAATAGTATTCCTGAGCAAAATATAGCTTTCATTTATTTAAATCAGATGTTCTTCATAGTGCTTTATAGTATAGTGCTGATAATTAAAAGTTTGTATTACAGCTTGTTTAGGACTGACTTGTTTTTAAAGATATGTTTACAATTAACTGAAGAGCTGTAATGCCCTTTTGTGGAAGGATTTAGAAATAGTAGAATTATTAAAGATATTAAAGAGATTTAATACCAATTTTTAGGTTGTTTTTCCCTGCAATTTGTACTTTGCTTATATAATAACTGTAGTGAACAGTTTTAAGGAAGGCTCTTCTAAGGAACTATATTACATGTTTAAAGCTCTTTTTCTTTTTTCGATGTCTGTAGTTGTAAAAATGTATCTTCTTTGTATATAAGTTTTTAATTTTTTTATTAATTTATTTATCGTGGCAGCCTGAGCAGAACTAATTATTTTGAGGATACACATAGTTGGGTCACTGATTCATTTTACTAACTTTGAGTGAGCCTCTCTTCCCATTTCTAAAAATTCTAATTATTATTTTATCCCTTTCTTCACAATGAGGTAGAAATCACCTTAAAATACTTAGTAGTATAGTATGAATTTACTGCCTGAAAAACAGTGAGTTTTCTATATAATCATGAAATTGTAGCTTAAAGAGAATTGTCTTCTTGATCTAGTCTGAGATGTAAGTGCTAAGGCTTTCACATTTTTGGTAGCATTATGTCGATTGAACACTAGGCCATTTGACTTGATTCTCAGGGCCGCCATCACACTCCCTCCAAGGCTCCTTTGCCCAGAAAAGCTTTCTGTATTTGTTTTGTCCAAAGAGTTCTAGATTGGAAAACTAGGAAAAACATCAGAACAACATGTGTTGGAGTCTTCAGACTGGAAAGACTGCAGATATTCAGATTGTCTCCTTTTGATAGGAAGTCCTCTTAGTATATTTTGTGTATTGTCAAAATAAGACATTTGATACTTTCAAGATTGGTTATAATCTGTGTGCTTTCCTTATCGTAAGACTCCTTAAAATTGAATGTGGGATTGATCTTCATTTTTTTTTCTTTACTCTCATTAGTGCCTCAGATATAATGCTAAATAAAACAGACTTTCTTAATATGAAATAATTTTGCTTATAAATACTTGTTTTTTCTTCTTTGAGCTTTTCTCTACTGCCTTGCAAGCTATTCATTGCTGTGGAGTTAAAAGGGAAAAATATTCTACATTAGGTAGAACCTTGGCTGTGCTTCTCTGCACCATATCTGCATGATGCTTTCATCTGATACAGTGGGGCAGGCTACTGTGGGGAGCTCTAGTAGTTGGCCCAATTCATTTTGGAAATATTTATAGTGTCCTGTGCATGATACACTGGGCAAGTGGAGGGGGGCACAGAAATATCTGCCTTCAAATAGAGACTAAAATATTCTTATATGAAAAGTTATATAATAATATAGAAGAACCTGGCATATGATTTAGTGCAAATGAGTCATAGGAATAACTACTTTGAGTCCAAACATGAATGAAAATTTAAAATGATAGCACTTTATTTTTGCCTGTACATTTCCACATATCTGTTGATTCGTTTGAAAATATTTGTATAAAATGCAAAATATTATCAGTGCTCTTCATACTGTCTCCTCTCTGTTAGAACGCCTTGTTCTGCTTCATGTCTGTACCATTTCCCCAATAGGTTGTACACTATTTGAAGGAGTTAGTTTTATGTGTTAGTTGCTAACTTGTGACACATGCTGTGTAATGCTTTACTCATGGTAGGTATTCAGTTAATATGAATGAGTGGAGGCACTTGTGATAAGCATATCATTGTGCTAAACTTGGTGTCAACCTATAGGAAACCTCTGTGCAGCAGTTCAGTGAATCAGGCTCCATCAGAAAGGACTTGGTGTGGGGCTTGGTTGGAATGAAAAGACTGCAAGATGTATTAAAGCTTGGGTATATAGAATATAGTTATTTTGTAGTCTAGGCTTTGGAAGATATATAAGGACATTTTGACTGATTTTTAATTTTTGTTCTTATAGCCCTCTAGTCCCCTTCACAAGAAAAGATGATTTTTAATATGCAATATGAATGAAATATATTAATTGTAGAAAAATATATTAGCATAAAGAATATACAGAATGTTTATGATATGATGTATTTAGAGATAATTATGGTTCATATTTTGGTACATGGCCTTTGGGGTTTTTTCTACCTGTGTATGAACACACATACTATGTGTACTTTGTATAAAAATGGAGTCATAGTTTATGTACTGTTTTATAAATAGCTGTTTTCAGTTACATTTTAGGAATATCTTTTATAATAGTAGGTACATTTTTGATCACAGAAAGAACATAAGTGCCCACCCTCATCCCCTTTTATGAGAAAACCATTATTAATCGTTCTTTTAATATATATTTTAATATAGCTATATTCAGATTATTTTTATTGTATATTGAATGTCCACTCAGAAAGGTAAGGAATTTTGTGCACATCCACTCTTCCCTGTCCTTTTTTAAAATTATTATTTATTTTTTCCCCCACCCTTTTTTCTTGTAATAAATTTGTAGATTTTCTAGTAGACACCTTTATTACTTTAAATATTCTACTTTTCTGTCCTTATTTACCAACTTTAGATAATATCTGCTAGCTCCCTGTAATTAAAGATGAGAAAATAAGCATACCTTTTCCCTGGCTACCCTCTGGCCTTCTGATTTTTGTTAAATTACTATTACTTTTAATGGTACATTCAAATGATAGAATTCTATGCAATTATTAAGAGGAATATAGAGCTATATAAATTGATCTCGAGAGATCCACATTTTAGTGATAAAATCAGGTTACAAACAGTGTGATCTCACTATTTTGAAAAACTACATAGGTGAGCATAAATATGCACGTGGATGTTCATAGAGGCTATCTCTGAGAGTATGATATATAAGATTTTTCATGTATTTTCAACATTTTTATGTCATCTAAAGTCTTCATAGTGAGTACATGTTAATTTGTAGTTAGCAAAAGTTATTTATTTTTTTAGAATGAGGAATAGGAATTTAAAATTAATAGATTATTGCTATTTTGGGGGCCTTTTTCTTTTTAACTTCTTTCCTTCATTCACTGAATTTATTTTTTGTTTTTGTCAAAATAATATACATAGTTCAAGAAGTCAAATAGTATTTGACTACAGATAAGGCTTCTAATAAAAGGAACACTCCTCTGCTCTACCTTTCTCCAACTTAGTGGCTTTTTCCCCAGAGGAGTATCAGCTATATTGGTTGTTTCTCTTGGTGTTTACTCCAACCACGAAGACTTTCTATTAGGATAAATGACTTGACTTCCTATTATGGTAGATAAGGATTTAGCATATCTTTTTACATCCTTGTAACAATTTATTAAATTCTTAAAAAGTTTTATACATTACTATGACAAATATTTACTGTTGAATAAGAACACAACTTTTATAGATCCCTTTATGTGAGTTCAGCTGGAATCTAGCTTTAGCCTGATTCTGCGAATAGCTCTGGAGCATGAAAGGCACTGTGCCTAGCAGAATAATAGCTCCCCAAAGATGTTCACATTATAATTCCCCGAACCTGTGAGTACATTAGGTTATATGGCAAATGGAGAATGAAGGTTGTAGTTGGAATTAAAAGTTGCTAATCAACCAGTCTCAAAGAGATTATTCTTGAGTATCTTGGTGGGCCCAGTGTAATCACAAGAGTCCTTTAAAGAGGAAGAGGGAGGCAGAAGAGAACGTGAGAGATAGAGCTGTGACTATGGAAGAATGATCAGACAGAGGTTATGTTGTGGCTTTGAAGATGGAGGAAGGGGGCCATGAGCCAAGGAATGCTAGCAGCCTCTTGAAGCTGGAAAAGGCAAGAAAACAGACTCTCCTATTATGTCCAGAAGGGAACATAGACCTGCCGACTACTTGATTTTAGCCCAGTGAGACTCATGTTGGATTTCTTACCTCCACACCTGTAAGATAATAAATTTGTGTTGTCTTAAGCCAGTATATTTGTGATAATTTGTTACAGCAGCAATAAAAAACTAATACTGGCACCACTGAGTTGTCCCTCCTTGTGGCAAGGGAGCTGGCTTTTTGTCTCTCTGTATGAAATACTAGCTACAATCTACCCCTAGGGGTTGGGGTGGATAACCTCCCAGCCAGGAGGGCACCAAGCTACTTAGAGTAATTATCATGAAAATGGTGCAACTGTCAGCCATCAGCAGCTAATACTACAGCTAGGCAGTGGGTATACTGGCCTAATAGGGTTCTCAGTGGGACATTAGTCTCCACTACAGTAAATCTAAGCCAGCACTGCATGTATAAAACAATAGTTATGCACTCTTGGGGGTGGAAGGGCAATAAATGTAGAACTGAAATATTTGGATTTGTAACAGAATCCTTGTATTGTTTCAAAACATATTAACCACATTTAAGTTGAATGCATATTAAAATTTAAGAGCAATCCCTAAATGAATTACTATTGGTTGTGAACAGATACATTTCAAACATACAAATAAGCAATGCAAAATCTAAATGAAGGGAGGAAAAGAAGCAGCACAGAGAAAGCAGAGTGAATAGGAAGTATAAAATAAGATGGTAAAAATAAATCTAAATAGTACTCACACCTCAAAAGGTGAACTGAACAGAATTCACGATTTGATTTTATATCAACATCATTCTATTTAGAATGAAGTAGTGGGATTAGAGCTCTAGAAAAGAAAATGTTTATAAAACATCACCATTCAGTGAAGGAGTCTCCAAGCCTCAAGATGTAATAAAGCCTCTTAATTTTCTTTCTAATCTTCCTGTCCCTATCCCCAAGCTGGGACAGACTCAGTATCTACTGTTTTTTTTTTTTT